CAAACTCAATACATGCATATATGGGTGGTTGTCAAAATTATGGTCCCTTTTTGGGTACCCTCAATATTAGGGGCCGTACTATAATAGGGATCCAAAAAGGGACCATAATTTTGACAACCACCCATATATCATACTAGAATATACTACAATATACTAGAATGTGCCATATTATGCTAGCCCCAAGGCACACGCTGGTGAGCTCGACCTTGGTCCCTCCAGCTGGCAACCTCGGCAAAGCAGTCACAAAGGAGAACAATAGAGGGTTATGTGGGGTTGTATAGGGTTATAGAGAGATATCGGAAATATGTAGTGGTATATGAAGATTATATAGGCGATTATAGGAGAACAAAAAGTGCGGGCAGCAAGAACTTCCGCCATGGTACGAGCTGGTCATGTGATGCTTCACGCACCCGCGGCACAGGTCGTATCCGCATGTTCGGCAGCTCCAGCGTACCTCCGCGCAACTGCACTCATCGAAAGCAGCAAGAGCAGGAACACCGACCGAGCAACTGAAAAGGCCCTGTGCTCAGCTATGGGGAACTTGGACGTACCTTCCCAATTGAAATACAGAGAGGTGGTGTCCCTTGTCGTGACAGCTTGATTTCAGGAGTTCTCTCTTGCGCACTCCTGGACAGACCGTGAGTCTACCGACGATGTAGAATGCTGCTCTTATCCTGAAATTTCGCAATCCTGGCATGCTTTCATCATCATCTTGGAGTTAGACGGTGAGACTAAAGTCACACAAGCCCGCCCGTGACTCTCGCCTGAATATCTCGATTCAAGGCAGGTTGCCCGTCAAGACTGCAGTCTAATTACATGCAAAACTCCTTGGTTATGATCTTAACAATGAGCTACAGAAAGCCTGTGGATGGAATCGCTCGTTCTACACGTGTTCGTGTAACATACGGTAGCCACAGCAGCTGGTTTCTTCTAACTTTGCACTCAGGGCTCGGGACGATTTCGAGCCCATGCAGCAGAACAAGGCTAAGTGCTAGCCCGCCTTCGGGCCCTCCGACTGGCGTGTGCAGTCCGGAGATTTGTCATCACAATACCAGGTGGTGGACCCGTTGTCGAACTTCTTCAGCTCCTCATAACTTCACGTGGATTGGGCAAATCTGGGACTTGCAACAAATCAGAGACAAGCAATCTCTTCTAACACCGAGAAGCAGTCAACGTTTTCCTACTGGCGCCCAACAAAATGGCCGCAGACAAAGCGCGCAACTTTTCGCTCCATAGTACTCATGGATGTATCACGGGCACGCACTTGTACATCTTTGACACATTTGTATTCGATATGGATGCAAACAAGACAGATTGCGCAAGCCTCACGCATGCTGCGACGACTACTTGACGAAGCGAAGATGCAAACTTAATGCTGGGTTGCTGTTAAAGGAACTTAAATTAAGTCACCATAATGGGTATATATGGCAAATAATAGGGTTTCCCCAATATAGTAACTTAATTTAAGTTCCTTAACAGCAACCCAGAATGTCGCTCTCAAGTCGATCATCCAGTAGGCCCGTGACCTCAAAGAAATGGACATCCTTACCTAAGTGACCACCCAAAATCTGGAGTAAATGCGGCCATGCTTCGCATCCGTGCGGACGAACAGTAACCTTGACAAGAGCTGGCTACATGAGTAGTACAAAGGATGATGACGGCGCCCCCTGAAATCCTGCCATCCTCCGGAACCATGCTACAGGAATTCATGCATCTTCGACAACCAGGCGGGTTTTCCCAGCTTCTTTCATGTGGAGAATGTTTTGCCCCTTCGAAAGCCCATTAAAGTCTGGAAGCTCAAGCCTTCCTAGGGTTCCAGTTTCAGGGAACCGTTCTCCCCAAACCACTACGCCCTGTACAAGTACTGAAATATCGAGGCCAAGCGGCAGTCTCTGGGATTTCTTCAGAGACTGCATTCCTGTGCTCATGCTTGTGAGGGTAGTCGTAGGGCTTGCTTGTGATGTTTAGCTGCTCGGATTCCATCCAAACCCACAATCAGATCATATCAAATGTTGGATGGATGGCAGGTTGCATGCAGATGTTGCCGCTGGGGATTGAAATGCTGTAAAGGCTGGAGTCAGTTGAACAATTTGGCCTGACCTCACGGCTCCGTAAGCAGAAAGCAGCATTTATGCGCGGCCAATCTCCAGGTAAGGCAGCCAGTAGTGCGAGCAATGTCGTGTACTGCACAGCAGACATCATCTTTGGAGGGGCATCTCTTCGCGAGAACATGCTAAACAAGCAGACTCTGCCGAGGCTCGTCATGTTGCCGCTGACGTCGGCAGAAGCGGCCGCAGCGTCCGGAAACCTCCAAAGGTCCGCGGCCACGTCAACTGCTTGCAGCGATGGATGGATATAAACCCTAAACCCGAAATAGTAGTTTCCATTTTCTTTTCGATTATCCCAAATAACCCCAATAACTTACCCCATATAAACCCCAATATATGATGAGACTGAGGATGCTGGCTTGGAACCTATGGCCTCCAAGCCTCTTTGGCAAGGGAAGTATTCAGCCAAGAAGCTTGACATGAGCATAAGGAAGCACGACGACCTGACACGAAAGTCTGAGAACCGTAGGCTCTGCAACACAAGCTTGAAATGCAGCTAGAAATCCTGAACACAGCTTTTCTGAAAACCCTGAGTCTGTAGGACCAAATCCTTCCCCCCCCCTCCCCCCGCAAGGCAAACAGCAGAGCAGGTGGTCATAAGTCATGAACTCTCCACAACACAGAGAGTGCCACTCCGTGAGTGGCGGCCTCCGTGCGGGAGCAGCTGTTTGTGAAGATTAAAGTGATGTCGCCTCGGATTGCAATGACAGAAAATCACCAGTAGCCACGGCAGCATTGCCCAAGTGTAAAGCTATCTGCCTGCCACGCATGCAACGCGAATGAACCTAGGCCTGCGGCTTTTTTCTGCATGGTGCAGTCCATGCTTGCAGTCATGCTTCCGTACCTGCTTCCTCTAATTCAACCTGCCAATCGTGACACTGCCCAGCGTGGCAACTGTTTTAAAAACTTACATAAACACGTGCTGCGAGCCAACTCAACTGAGGGGCGCATGGCTCGGAGCTCTTCGTTGAAGCGGCTGTGGACTTCGGCAATGTTTTGAAACACAGCCTGCTGGAAGTTTGGCCAGTTGAACAACTTGCAGTCTTGCTTGGTTGGACTGACACCATAACGACAAGGAAAACGTCCCAGGCTTACTTCAAGCCCTGTGAACAGCGTTGGCAAGCCCTTGTGGCAACATGGCCTCCGTCAGCACGTTAAGATCCTTTGACTCCACCTCACGGCCACCTGGCTGTCCCAACTGCTTGCTCATGTTGGGATTGCCTGTCCCCTCGCCAGGATCTTACAAAATGTGATGACCGAACTTTGCGCCCATACAGTACAGTCGGGGATCTTGCTTAGCTTCCCCTTTCCTGATTCGAGGTGCTTCGCCTACGCAGCTGGAACCAACCTTGTGGATCCAAGCTTGAATTTTCCAAGTACGGTATAGAGATGAAGGTTCTCAACAAGAACTTCTTGTCTAATCCCGATCGCGCGTAACTTGCGGCGTGCCAGTGCCCGCGTTGACGAATGCAACAACAGCAGCAGCAGCAGGTGCAACAGCAAGAAATCCGATCTTGATTAGTCTTGTTCTTCAAGATAGCCTATCAATTTCTTTTCATCTCTCCACTTGCGCCCAGGTGCCAAGGTTCTTCAACAGCGCTGCTAGCTGTGTCCGCGAGGGGCCTGGACATGTGCCCAGTCGTCTAAGTTTACTTGGGGGCCTCTAGAGCTGCCTTTGCAGTGCTGTGAGCAGGAGACCCCATAGCAAACTGACCACGAAGCCAAAGTTTGCCACATTTTGCCACCTTGACAATCTACCTAATACGGAGCCGCAGAGGCGCCGTTGAAGGTATATGTTGCTTCCTAGCCACTGAACAAAAGGCTGCATTGCAGGCAGCCCTGACTCCAAGTCTTGACTCATTCATGACTGCCACAGCTGCAGACAAGAAATAGCCAGTCTTAATTGGACGCAGAGGAAAACCATGAAAGGCCAAACGAAGAGGCATGCACCAACCACCACTGAGTCAAACCACCCCACCTACAATCACTGATCCCTGTTCAGGCAGAATGCTACATCGCGGTCGATGGGTCACCGTGCCTCCAAGTGTGGCAACCAAGTCGAGATACCAGCCAGCCTCCACCCCCTGCTCCTGAAAACAAACTGCGCTGTGACTTCAAGAGGCATTCGCCCATGAGAAAGGCAAGCCTGCAGCATGCACCCTGCCCCAAGAATGACTCACATCCTCATATGGTAGTTTCCCCAAATAAGGGGACCCCAATATAGACCCCAATATACTATAATCCTTAATATGGGGAACCCCAATAGGGTACCCCCAATTTTGGGAAACCCGCAAAAGGCGTCAACGCAGGCCCTCGCCTGTGCTGGTCCGGGCCCCAAAAAGGAGCCAACCGCGAGTGGAGCCAGCGGACAGCTCATGTCCTGCCCAAGTGGGGGATTGTCAAAATCATGGTCCCTTTTTGGGTCCGCTAAATTAGGCCCCGTATTATAATAGGGACCCAAAAAGGGACCACAATTTTGACAATCCCCCAAGTTGGTGGCAACACTGCCACTTGATCGTGGCACGACACCAGCCGACACATAGCACGCAGGGATAAGAATGCGTCCAAATCCAAGCAAAGGTCTAGAAAAGTCTAGACGTCCCTGCCACATACAATTTTCAAGCAAAGTTTTGAAAGCAGAAGCACGTGCATGCCAGTCAGCTTCACAAGATGCAAAACAAGCCTATCCCCAACTGGACAGCTGTTTGACTGGCAAACGCTTCGCAAGTCAAGGCAGTCCAGCTCAAAGGACGCAATCTCATCACCGATCATCGGCGTGTAGCCCTGCTCGTCAGCCTTCGGTTCTGCATCAAATCATGTGCTTTCATTCCGTGTTTGTTATAGTGATGCCAATTAAAACATCATTACATTGTAGTTTCCAGTTCATTTTCCATTATCCCAATAATAACCCCTAATTATATAACCCCATTATGGTAGTTTCCATTTTCTTTTCCATTATCCTAATATTTGTCCATTACTTGTTTCCCAACATTATGCTGACATCTTGAGGCTGCAGCTGCAGTGCGGCCGGCGGCATAGCGCACGTGGATGCTGCGCGGCTCATCCAAGCAAACGGCAAGGCATCTTCTGTCCTTCTTGGCAGGCTGGAGGGCAGCAGGTGGCAAAAAGATGATCCCAATGAAATTATCTCTCACAGGTCGCTGCTATTGCCGTTTTCTACTTACAATACTGCGATCTTTGCTAGATAAAATCAGACTAGTATAGTAGCAGCAATAACCGGAAGAATGAACTAGAAAAATAACAATGCTCACAATCAAGGCTTTAGAACTCATAGTAGCAATATTAGCAATAGGTTCGTAAGACCCACAATACTAGGGGGGGTTTAGTCTCAGGCCTGAGGGCTGGGCAGGGTCTAGGAATGTTTTGTCAAAGGGCATGGGCCAGAATCCCTTTGCGCCGTCAGTCTGGGCTTGCCCCTGACTAATTAGATAGGGGGACCCCAATATAGACCCCAAAATGCTACAATCCTTAATATAAGGAACCGTCAAAAGGATGACCCTAATTTTGAGAAACACCTGTCCTTCGCCAATGCTGGGAAGGAAGCGAAACGTGGCAGGTCATCAATGTTCCGGTGGTCCAAGGGTCCTTGGCACAGGCCACAGAATCCTCAGGATTTTTGTAGGGTAATATTGGGGTTATACTGGGGTTGTATTGGGGTTATAGTAGGGTAATAGGAGTAATAGGCTGGGCTGCTGGAGATGAAAGTTGACCTTCGCTGCACACTGATTCCCTCGCTGAACCTTCTGTGCCATGACCACATTGAACAAAGTCTCTCTGAACAGGGCGTCGGATTTCACAGCGTTGCTTCTGACGATCCTGCTCAAGGCACAAAGCTGCATGGCTTCATAAGCAGGCTCCTTAAGGTTTATCCAAGCTACACAACCTCACCACTGCACAATCGTTCGGACAACCTTAAGGCTCTGCCGGGAGCCCTTCGGGAAATCAAACTCTGCCATTGCAAGCTCTGCTCACAGTGTTCTGTTTGATTCTACGCTGCACGCGTCGCGAAGGTCCCTCTACCACCTGAGGGCCCATAGAGAATCAACAGCTCTCAAACCACGTCATCATCCCCAGCTATGAGACTCTCAGTCTGGTACTTGGGAATAAGTACTGAGGAGACGCACTCCTTTAGGAGGCGCCTTCAAAAGGAAAGCATATCGCCTCAAAGCACGGCAATGCCCTTACGGATCTATCTCCGAGGCATAAGCATTGCACTTCCAGTGCCCAAGGGAGGAAACGTATCACTCTCCTTGTGCATGGACTGCTTAAAACCTCTGCAAAACAAACTGGCCCTGCTTTGCAGATGCCTGGAGCTTGGGAGACTAGGCAAAAGCTTCTTGAATCTGCTTTTTACATAGATCTGTCCGCACCAGGGTTCAATGTTATGGAGAACAGCGCTGCGGGGACCATAAGGGTAAGAGTAATGAGCATCGTTTCGTGCTCCAAGGGCCTCCCGAAGCATGCCCGCTGCGCGGCTTTCAAGTACCATCAAGTAATTATGTCCAATACAACTAGCTGCTAGCGGAGCGTCTCAGAAGAACAAAGCAAATCTGTACTAAAGGGATATATGTAGGGATTATATTGGGATAATGGAGAAGAAAATGGAAACTACTATAATGGGTGTATAATATAGGGGTTATATTACACAAATCTTTTGGTGTCAGGCAATGGCGCCAGCTGTGGCCAAATCGTGCCCTATGAGGCCCGTGTCATTCAAGGCTCTTGCTGAAGGCTGGCGGCTATCTGCATCTCCCGCAGAACCAGTTTGTCTTTGCATTCAGACTTTGCGCCTTGCCAAACCCCAGGGATGCTGGCTGAGCTCAACAATATTTAGTAGTTTCCAAAATAGGGGGACCCCAATATAGACCCCAATATACTATAGTCCTTATTATGGGGACCTTGAACAGGGTACCCCTAATTTTGGGAAATCCCCATTTGGCAAGGAGACTTATAGGTTTCAGCGTGTAGCCCAGTCTGGTAGTGCCCGCTTGGTTTGCGCTAGCACTTGCGATTCTCTGACTGTGGCTCTCTCTCTCTCGCTCTCTTAGTAGCAAATGCATGCCCCATCGGAGCGCAATCCTACTTTTTTTGCCACAGGTTGGCCAGCAGCCCAATGTTTCCTGCCTCCTCCTCTTCCGCCTGCTGCATGAGCAGCAGCTGCTCTTGCTTCTTTTTGTCCTTAACTTCCAAGGGCCAAAGAACAACTCCGTCTCTGTCTCTTTGGAACATTATCCTCAGATATTTTGACAAAACTTTTTCCAGAGGATCAAAGCAACCCATTCCTTTAAGTCTTCCTGGGTGTCCAGGCGATCCCTCTGCCGCACGAGGAAGCCACAGGTGATGACCACGACGAGCACGCCCACGCCTACCACCAGGGTGCCTGCCACTGCAGTCCCCTCCTGCATGGATCAATCAAACACTGGGCACCTTCCCAAAGTCACTAAGTCCACTTTTGCTGGGGATGTAAACAATCCTGATCTTGGCAGGAGGACCCCGTGCTAGGTATACTGTTGGGCGCCTTGCTTGTCTTACCCTATTTATATACCTCTTCGTCTCACGACCAGTTTCCATCATGTCCTGTCCTTGTCCCAGTTTAGGACCGCGTGCATCGGGCAGATGATGCAGTCACAGTTGCCACCGTAGCACTGGGTCCGGATGCCAATTCGCAAGCTGTGGTCAATGTATGTCCACACCAAGTAGAGCGCAGCATAAATGGCAAGCCACCCACCATGTTTCCATGAAAATGGCACACGGCTGACAAAGAGGCTGACCAGTAAGAGTACGCAGTTGATGAAATGAGCGTAAATCTCCAGGTAATCTGGCGCTTGCTTCAAATCCCAAACTGGGTTGATGAAAACCCAATGGGCACAAACAACCGCAAGGGACAGTGGAACAGAGAGTGATGATATGACCACTGCTGCCCGCGCAAGACACGGGGTGGAACTTGCCGACTCATCCAGCTCCTGCGCTTTGTCCTTCCCTTTCCTGGGTTGCTGTTAAGGAACTTAAATTCAGTTACCTTAATGGGTCTATATAGAAAATAATAGGGTTTCCCCAATATAGTAACTTAATTTAAGTTCCTTAACAGCAACCCAGTTTCACGGAAAGATAAAACAGCAGGAGCATGTCCACCGTCTGCAAAATCAGGGAGTGGCGGGCAAAGTAGATGAAGTAAAAGCCTGCTTCGCCTGAGAAGCTTATGCAAAGCCGCAAAGAGAACCCCATACCATGGGGTTTAGGGGCCGTTGGGGTTTAGGGTTTACGGTTTAGGGTTCACACACAAAAGGTGCTTTTCGCAGTGTGCACCAAGCCGCCATCAATCCAGATGCCCTGCACCATGTGCCAAAGGGTGTGCACAACGAAGATAGCTGCAAAGGCCATCCGAAACCACCTCGAAGTCCATTCGGGGAGGGGGAGGGGGGAGGGTGGGTGGGCTTGTAAGTGGTCAATCTGGGACACACAGAGTATAGTCCCCCTTAAGTAGATAGAATATGAGGTACATGGGGATCTTATTATACTGCACCCAAAGCCATATTCTATCTACTTAAGGGGCTGTAAGCCACAAGGAGCCGAGGTTAGCCCTGGATGATCTATAGTCTAAACTCCTTCCAGGGGGTTCTACACGGGATTCTACAGGGGAACATTGTAGGGAGTTGTATAGGGGATTATATGCGGGAACATTGTAGGGGCTATTAAGGGGGATACCTCAAATGATCGCATTTAGTATGGCGTCGACTTTAATCCTCGAAATGCCCTAAGCTACACCTAATTTGGGCAGCAATCTGCGAATGGCAAAACTTCCTCAGAGGCGCATGTAGTGCTTTGGCTGCAGAAAGCGAGAGGTGGCGAATGTTCTCGGCCACTCCTGTCGCACTGATCAAACCCTGAATCCATTTACGCAGGCCGAACAGAAATTCATTGCCCTGCCAATCTCCCTCCTTGGGCTGACATGATCAGGAGACATACCTCGAGCTCAAGCAATTGAAGTTAAATCCTACAAGAAGACCAGTTTATTGCACAAGCCCCAAAAAAATGCATCAGCTGGACGAAGTCAACAACTCACACAGGCAAAGCCCCGCAGCTTTTTACGACGGCTATCTGCAGCATGATGGTCTCCTCCGGAGCCCAAGGCTCGATAGAGGAGGTACAACCCATGGCGGCGGCCAAGCACACAGGCAGCAACCGCAGGAGGCCTGCCCGGGCAAGTCCTTTGGGCCAACGCGGCCAAATGTGGCAGCGGCGGACAAACAGTGAAATTTCTACGTGAGATGCGCGCATGCCTCAACAGTCAGCCAACTTTCAACTTTGCCTACTTCCTGCATGTCCTAGTCCCCCTGATCCATCTCTTCCCTGCCTGGCTATCTCTGTCGAACCAATCCACCATGAAAGTTCCGTCCTCGCCTTGGTAGATATGGCAGAGCTTTGTACCCACAGCCGCTGCTCTAGCACACATTCCATGCTGGGGCGGGAAATCCTATCTTTGATAGGCTCTTAATCCTACAGTCTTACAGCATGACGCGACGGCCACCGGAACAAACTTTGAAGATTTCCAGCAGCCGTCGGCGATGGTTGCTGAGAACATTTGCATCAGTCAGTTGCGCAAGAAGTGTGACAGCTGCACGTGTAACAATGCTGATCAGGGCTTAACCTCGAGCTCAAGCTTCCGTGCCTAGCAGCATGTGCGCTGAAGGCTGCCAAGACTCACAAGCCCGTAACCCTCCATGAGATGATTCTGGCAAGCTGCAAATAGACGCCACAGTCGCACGATACCAAGATCCGCTTTTTGCCTCTTAACAATAAGGCACGCTGCATGTCAGCTGATGCTATCATTCCCGTCTTTGCCTGCGAGTTTGTTTCAAGTATGTTCAAGTACCAAAGCCGAATATCATTGCCTGAACTGCTGAACTGGAATACAGGCTAAGGGGCAGGTCCAACCTCTAAAGCATGGAGTGTTCCGCTACACATTCAGGAAACAAATGCGCCGAACCTCAACTAGGTCGCCCACAGCCGGCCACCTGCAAACAAACTTCGCTTTAGCGGGCTTGAGTGCAACAGAACCCCCCTCCTGCAGATCAGTCAATAACTCTGCATGCGGCATCCCTAAACCCTAAACCCTAACTGGTAGCTTCCATTTTCTTTTCCATTATCCCCATATAACCCCAATAATACAACCCTAATATACCCCCAATATAACCCTAAACCCTGAACTACAGCTCTAAGCTGCAGTGGTACAAGCACCACTCCCAAAGGTTGCAAGAATGCTTAGAGTTTAGGGTTTGTAGGGTTATATTGGGGTTATATTAGGGTTATATCGGGGTTATATTAGGGTTATATAGGGGTTATATGGGGATAATGGAAAATAGAATGGAAGCTATCTACAGCGCACCAACCTGATAGCCTGCAATCCAGGTAGTAAGGCCCCAACCCACTCTGCTCCGAAGTAGCATACTCACCGGTCTCCTCCTGCACCAGGTTGACTGCGGTACAGAACATGTAGCAGCTCCATTTTCTTTTCCATTATCCCTATAGAAGACCAGTATGCTATAGTAGCTTCCATTTTCTCTTCCATTATCCCTGTACAACCCCAATCTACTATAGTAGCTTCCATTTTCTTTTCCATTATCCCCATATAACCCCTATATCACCCCTATGTAACCCCCAATACATGCCTGCGACGGTCTAGGATGCCAAGGAGTCACGTCAGGTGCACCAGTCCTCCTGGACATCCAGGTTCACCAGCCAGCGACCTCACAAGAATATGGCAATACTTGCAGCCAATACTGCAGCAACATGCTTCCGCCAATTCTTGTTTGTGTGAAACTGACGCAGGGCGAGCATGCATGAACGAAAAAAACTGGGGGTGCTGTTAAGAAACTCAACTTAAGTTGCCACAATGGGTATCTGTAGTAAATAATAGGGTTTCCCCAATATAGTAACTTAATTCCTTAACAGCAATGCCGAAAGATATGAGAAGCATGGGCAGGCCGGGCCTCCTTCGTTCCTTTCCACCACGGTGCCCCAGACTTTGTCACCATTGGCTCCTTGCACTGTATCATCTCAGGTGCCAGGTAGCTGCTTGGACGAGGATGGGAAGCCGCGGTTAGATCAACGCAGAAAGTGCAGTCAACATGTGAGCTATAGTCGAAACTCCTGAAAGGGGGTTATATAAGGGATTATAATAGGGGAGTCTTATAAAGGTTATTCAGGGATACTAGGATTTTAGAATATAGCTCATGTTGTCAAACCATGATTCTTCTCAAATCGGCATTTCGGGGTTTGCTGCTATTCGTGGAGCAGCTCCTGCCGCGTGTGCGTGACATAAATTAGGAGGACCCCCCACCCTGTAATGGTGACTATTATGGATAATAGGGATTATATTAAGGTCCTCTTATATTCCTATTATACCACTATTACAGGTTGGGGGGTCCTCCTAAGATATAAGGCTCTTGGTCAGTATGATCCGAATCAAAGCACTGAGACGAGGCTGGATCCCTGAAGCCAAATTCCAAAAAGCCTACGACTCCAAAGAAATAGCCCCCCCAAGGCCCGATACTGCTTATACAGGGACGATACTAGGGTTGATGGAAAAGAACATGGAAGCTACTTAGTCCCAAATCCTAAACTGGCTGGTTGCTTCCTGGGACAGTGATCTCCACGCGACTTCCAGGGCCAGCCGCCGGCCGCCGCAGCCCTCCAGAAAAGATGCGGAAGCGAGCGGACTTGTCCAAGGTGCAGCTCCTTGGGTTAGGGTTATAGTAGGGTTATATTGGGATAATGGAAAAGAAAATGGAAACTACTGTAGTATAATGGGGGTATATATTAGGGTTATATTGGGATAATGGAAAATAAAATGGAAACTACTATAATATATTGGGAATTATTGGGGCCAGGCACACTGCGGATTTCTAGGAACCACCCCCCCCTCTGAATTATGATAGGGTTGTGTGTTTACTACTGGCAAATGCCACTTAAAAGCGTGCGCTACTTAATTAGCATTCTATGGCTAAACAACATTGCGAAAACTACGTGCCAGCTTGCATTCCGTGCGTTTGCAACACCACCTGAAAACACTACAGCTGAGCCATGGGGCTTCTGGCAGAAGAAAACATCTAGAGCCTGAACGCCATCCATGTGGACCTGCAAGGCGAGTAACAGAAGCTTAGATCTTTGGCTGCAAAACCTGGCGTGACAATCGTCTACAGCTGCGCTGAATGTCAGAGAGCCAAAAAAGTTGAACAGCTGTACATGGGCAGGATCACCTGTCGCATTTACTAGTTTTACGGAAGTAGGTCTCAGGCTTTCCAACTTTAAGAGCGGCCACAAAAGCAGGCCTGCTTCCGCCACTGAAACCGCTTCGCATCGTAGGGGTGAGTTGTTTCCAAGATGGAGACATCGCCTTGGAAAAAAGCATATCCAAAAGTTCGGGACCCAAAAGGCAAGGCCAACCACAGTGTGAAGATCTTAGGCTTTAATGAAACTTCACCGCTTTGATTAGATCATACTGGATGGGGCTCCTACAACCGTGCAAGCCATTGAGGGGACCTTGATGGGGGGATCCTACAGTAAGCTATGGAGCATGGAGCCAGGCATGAACCCGCAGTTTTCATTAAAAGGGAAGCCCCACTGTAGACCCCAAAATGCTACAGTCCTTACTGTAGGGACCCCACAAAGGGTCCCCCTAATGTTGGCACGTCTACGTCCTTGCATTAACCTCTTAAGAGCTTTGCCCCTGGCCCGACTTGTAGCTCCATGCTTGTAATTTAGTAGTTTCCATTCTCCTTTAAACTTCCTTTGTCCTTATATAATCCCAATAACAATATAATCCCACTGTGTAGTCCTTGTCTATACCCTATCATAACTTAGCAGTATCCATTTGGTTTTCTATTCTTCCTATACAACCCCTATAACCTTGAATCTCCCTTAAACCCTGAACCCTAAACCCAAAATCCTGAACCCAAAACCCTAAACCTTAAACCCTGAAGCTCCCATCAAAGAATCTCCAGAGGCCAGGATGCTAAATCCAGCCTCCTCTTTCATTGCTTTCCGCATGCACTCCAGCCCCTCCGCCCAGAGGTCCTCCCAACAACTACAGCAGACTGGATGTTTAACTGGGTTGCTGCTATAGAACTTAAATCTAAGTTACCATAATATGGATATACAACAAAGAACTAGTAATCGGACTTCCTTATTATACTTACTTCACTTAGGCTCCTTATCAGCAACCCAGTTAAGCCTGAGGCTAAGCATGGCCTTAAGAGTTTGGGATCAAGGCTCCAGGGCTCATAACTCAAAGAGCGTGGAACAGATGTGAACTCCAGCATCACACTACCGGGGATTAGTGGGGTATATAGGAGGAGTATAATGGATTATACTATTATAGGGATCATATGA